TCTAGCTGGCCTCTTGGAAGAGTCTAATAAATAAATTCATGATAAGACATTAAGGACAGCCGAAGGCTCTGCAGGTTTCTTTTGCCAGGGAAGGACATTGAGCAAAGGCAATTCAGCCTAATGCAGAGTCAACAGGATTGGAATCCAAAGATCCGAGTTCCTGATCTGTGTCTGTCCCGCGCCAGAGCGTGGTGGTGGCTAAACTGGTGGAAAGGGGCCCATCACTCGGAGACTCTGGGTTTTTTATAAAGTGGGAATAATGAACTTCTCTGACAGCTCCGAGGATTTTTGTGAGGCTCCAAGGCGATAAGGCAGGACGGGTACAAACGGAGAAAGCCCGCAGGAAGACAGCTTACTCTACTGGGCGGGCACTGTGCCTTAGCCAGTGGAGGCAGCCTGGTACAAGAGGCAGCCCGCTGCCCAGATGCGGGCCCAGGGTGATCGCTTTCCCAGCTCTGCAGAGGAGACGGGGAGAGCAGGAGTGTGATGATGGCTGTCTCCTGCTCCTCCCCCCAGCACCTCATTTTTATCCCAGCTGTTCTTGAGAAAGGTGGTGGGGCTGCCTGGTGTGCCTGCCAGGAAGGGTTAGGTCAATATGCACAGGGCTCCTTGGGGAATGTGTCCCGCCTCTGGGCCACTGCCCTCTCTGGAGAAATCTGGGTAGATTTCTGGGCTGCGGTCATGGAAGCATGTGCCACTTCACCTTTACTTTCCAGGGAGGGGGGAGGGGTCCCTAAAGGCCTGTTTTTCCTTCCCAGGGAAGCTTTGAGCTCTGAAGCCAAAACCTGGCACTAGATGTTAAAGGGCCAGAGCCCCTACCAGCTTTTCTTGGCCACTCCACTCCCAGGTATTATCAGAAGCTTCTGGAAACCTGGACTTCTGGGTACCAGCCCCTGTTTTTAAGATGATTATCTTAAGAGCCTGGGGCTCAGTGTTCACTACAGTATCCATGCAGAATTTACCAGAAGCTCTGCTCTCTTCCTCGGATGGCCCACTGCATTCAGCAACCCACCCGCTGCCCATCACCTAGAAGAGCCTACTCTGTGTGTGCCCTGGGGAGAGAGAGGTGAGTCTGCGAGCATCTGTGCACGAGGTCGGGTGTGGACGTGGACCTGAGGAGGGTCAATACAAAAGCCCCACACCCTCTGTACAGTCTTTGTGTAAGGGGCTCCTGATCATTTCCTTTGGAATTCAGATCTAGGAAAGATTTTTCTTTCCTGCAGACAAGGAGAATGACGTGCGTTATTCATGCTTACTTTTTACCGTGGTTCTTGGGAAATGCAGTGCAAAATCAATGCTGAGGTATAACGCCTCCCTTAGCTTGAGTATTTCGCATACCTGCCTCCCTGTACTGTGTATTGATGGCATTGTTTGTGATGGTGGGCCTCACTGAGCTCTGGTTGTGTGCCCAGAACAGTGACAGATGCTGGGGATGCCCACGTGAGACAAAATATGACAAGATCCTGGCCTTCCAACGGCTCACAGTCATGTAGTAGAAACCCCACAACACCCATGTGAGTGTTGTAACAAAGTGCGCCCGCACACTCTGGGTGCAGGGTGGAGAGAGCAGTTCATCCGACTGAGGGTGCAGAGGCAGGTGATGGAATGAGAAGAGTTCAGGCGAGGCTGCTGGGAGGAGGCGATGCTGGAAGGATGGGTGTCGGGTTTGCCCGATGAAATACAGGACACGGGAGTTTGGTTTAGGAACACCTTATAGTATGAGTATGTCCCATGCCCTATCTGGGACATACTTATACTAAAAAACTATTAAAAAGCCGGCACTGTATTTTATTTTCTGGAGTAGCAGGACAGGCATTAATAGTTCTGTTTTACAGATGAGAACCCTAGGGCCAGAGGGATCACATGTGAGTCGTGCAGCCCGTGAGGAGCTGGACCAAGGCATTAGTCCATATTTCCTGACTCTGGACCAGAATGCTCTTCTCTGTTTTGCACCAGACCCACCACCACCCAGCCATAGGCAGGACACCTTCTCGGCCTGGATGATGGAGAGGATGCTGAGTGTATCTTTGGGGTGTCAGAGAAATCACTGATGAATGGAACAGAAGAGGAGGAAGAGGCTGAGGCTGAAAAGCAACCCCCACTTTCTCGGCTTTTTCTAGGAATGGGCAGGAAGGAGCTCTGTGTGTAAGAAAAGGCCATCAGGCAGGCCTCTGGGAGGTCCCTGTGTGGTCCTGCTTGGGCCCAACATTTGGGTTTGGGCAATGGGAAGGTAGAAGAATGCCTCCTTCAGCTGGTGTTATGAAGCAACAGGGAACACCTTTCCAATTTTCCTGTATGGGCATCTGGCAGTATGGGAAAATCAAAACTTTTTTGAGATGAAAAACACAAGTTTCAAGTTGTATTTTGCCCCTGCTCATTTAAACCGTTCAAGGAAGGGAGGTGTGCCTCCTGGCTCACAGCTCTCACATTCTAAAGCCCTGGTTTCTGGGAGCTCTGTCACATCAATAGCATGCTTAAGGAATCTCTGTCCTAGAACTTTCTCCTCTACATATACAAATGCTTGTCATTAGGGAAAGGGAGACTAGACTTTGAAGTGCAAAGTTTTGATAATATGTAAAAGGACAGAAAACTGTATGCACCTCTAAAGTACAGTTTTCAGGCTTCTATGCCTGGTGACATGTGAACTGATTGGCAGTGGGCAGTCAGTCACTCTCCAGAATCCCAGGTGCGGGTTCTGGTCTACCAGTGGTGCTGACCCCGAGTCTTTCCTTTCCAGCTGGGCCTTTGGAAGAGACAGGAGTGTACTGGGTTTAGGATTCTGGGTTCTTAGTTATACTCACACTCCCTGTCTGTCCTCAAGACAACTGTGTCCTTGGCACAGCCCAAGAGGCCTCTCTCCCAAGCAGTAAGATGGGGTGGGGGTTGGGAGTTGGGGTGATCAAAGTCCACAAGGAACAACTAGGTGCAGACTAGGTCCTCTCATGAGTGTTGACTGTGAGATTTACTCCTTGAGACCCTCCGAGACTGGTGGAATTCTACTACTGAAAGTAGTTCCTTTCCAGAATTTTCATGGTGGATAGACGCGAGGTCCCACCATTTGGGGGAAACTGTAAACATGCGTGAGAGGTCAGCGAAGCGTGCATTCAGAGGCGAGAGGATGTTATCTACAAACGCAACTCGTTCCAATGAGTGAGTAAACAGACACATTTGGTTTGGGACCTAGGGCCTGGCTGGAGGAAAGAAAAGGACCCCCTACCAAACAGCATTTTTCTCTAAATGCCCCTTGAATTGAGCCACAGTTGCCCAGGCTCCTGCAGTCTGTTCTCTGTGAGGAATGTCTTCCCCAGCTTCTTGGGCTGAGTATCACCAATTGTTTTGAGGATTAACCCTTGGCCATCCAAAGTCTCGCTCTATCTCTCTCATCTCTTTCCCTTCATTCTGACTCTCTTGCTTTGGTGCACCTTTCATGAGCCGAGAAATGACAGACAGGATGACCGTATGCAGCTGCTTTCGGTGTGCATGGCCGAATCACAGTCGCTGTATGGGCATGAGTGCTTTAAGAAAAGAGCCTTGCTTCTTCATGAGCTCTGGTAGTTGCACTTGGAACCTGTCCATCAAGAAATTAGGTCTGCAGAGTCCAAAGCAAGCTCCCCAGAGCTCTACAAACAAGCTGGCCCAGCAAGGCAGCACCTCCTACAGTGCCTGCCTTGAGCTCTGAGATCTGTGGCCCGTTTGCCACATGTGGTAGTATCACACTGCTCAGAGGTGGGGTTTCGGCATCCTCGTCCTCCCTCCATCCACACTTCGAGATACAAGTGGTGTGGAGACCTAGCGAACTTCACGAGATGTTTGCTGTTGTCACCTGTCCTGGGGGTCAGTCATTGTCACTCCCAGCTCTCCCTCAGGGTAAGGTGGAAAATATACAAAAAATTCCCAGGGGGTCTGAGGGCAGGGAGACTTCTGTTTCTTTGGGGCAAGGGGGTTTGCCTACAGAGAAGGCCTGGCTGTCTATCTACTGATACACTCTTTTGCCTTCTGCCTTAACGGGGACCCTGGGTTTTGACTTGAGGTTCCTGGGCCAGCTCTGAATGTAGCATGTGTGCCGGAGTGATGGACTTGATATTTACACAAGCCACACTGATAAGTGCACATGTGTTTTTAATGTTTTGGCTTTCTACACCACAAACATGTCAATGTGCATATGTGTGCACACAGAAGACGTGCTGTCAGGCTGGGACTTGAGTAGGTCTTTTCTTTTTTCCCCTTTCCTTTCTTTTCCTGTCCTCCCAAAGCTAACACCTTTGTGAGAATTATTTCTTCCCACCCCAAGCAGCTTTGGGACAGTTACCTACTGCCTCCGGTTTTGTCTGAGGTTGGCCAAGGTCACGTTGTCCCACCTGGAGAGGTGCTGCATTTTTAAACCAGCAAGCAGCCCCAACTACACCTTCGCCTTGGGTTTGCAGGAACCGAGCCTGGACGGCTGGGGATTTAAAAGCAAACCTCCCTTGGTTCAGCCTTCCTGAGCCCCGGTTTGCTTGAAATGATCTGCCTTTGTACTGCAGCTAGGGAGGACCAAACCGGGGAGGTGGGCTGGCTGCTTGACCGGTGGGCTGCTGCCTGAAATGAGGAAAAAGCTTATTTAAAAAATTTTTTTTTCATTAGGTCATGGATTCGCAAGTACTGTTAAGGTTCCTGGCTTTTCTTCAAGCCGACTCAAGTTGACCAGCGTTAACTGTGCTCTTGATCCAGCCCACACTGTTATCTCTCCCCCCTTCCTTTTCCTGTCCGTTTCTTCTTCTTTTCCTCTCCTTTCCCTACTTCTTGTGCTGTTTATTTATTTATTTATTTTTGGTTTTGTTTTTTAAGGGGTGTTGACCTGGGTTTAGTTCTAGTAAACCGAACCCTCTTGCAAGTGAAGCGATTGGTTAATTGCGCCGGTGACTGACGTGCTAAATGAGTGCGGCTCGCAGCAGCCGGGAGCTGATTGGCTGCGCGGGGAGACTCCGAGGGCTTTGCAACAGGAGCACCGGGCACTCGAGTCCTGCAGCCTCGGGAGTAGGTGCCGCGCGCCCGCCCGCTCGCCCGCCCGCCCGCCGGCCCGCCGCGCGTCCGGGAGCCGGGGCAGCAGCCCTCTGGCCGCCGCGCGCGCTCCCCTCCCCGCGCGAGCTCCCGCCGCGGCGCCCGCCGCAGGCCGAGGGCCGCCACCCGCCGAGCACCGGGCAGGAGCGCGCGGCCGCCGAGCCGGGCAGCGCTGGGGACGGCGCCTTTTGTCCCCGGAGGTCCCTGGAAGTTTGCGGCGGGACGCGCGCGGGGAGGCGGCCGAGGCAGCCCCGACGTCGCGGGAGCCAGCGCGCCGAGCCAGCATGGGCAGCGGGCGCGGCGCTGGGGGCCGCCGCTGGGCCGCCCCGGGCGTGCTGCTGGCGCTGGCCGCCGGGCTCCTGGCCGCGGGCTCGGCCAGCGAGTACGACTACGTGAGCTTCCAGTCGGACATCGGCTCCTACCAGAGCGGGCGCTTCTACACCAAGCCGCCGCAGTGCGTGGACATCCCGGTGGACCTGCGGCTGTGCCACAACGTAGGCTACAAGAAGATGGTGCTGCCCAACCTGCTGGAGCACGAGACCATGGCCGAGGTGAAGCAGCAGGCCAGCAGCTGGGTGCCCCTGCTCAACAAGAACTGCCACATCGGCACCCAGGTCTTCCTCTGCTCGCTCTTCGCGCCCGTCTGCCTCGACCGGCCCATCTACCCGTGCCGCTGGCTCTGCGAGGCCGTGCGCGACTCGTGCGAGCCCGTCATGCAGTTCTTCGGCTTCTACTGGCCCGAGATGCTCAAGTGTGACAAGTTTCCCGAGGGCGACGTCTGCATCGCCATGACCCCGCCCAATGCCACCGAGGCCTCCAAGCCCCAAGGTCAGGCCGCCCCCTTCCCCACGCGCGCGAGCCCCCCAACCCGGGCGGGCGGGGGACCCGGGGACCGGCCGCGGGGCAGCCGCTGCCACGCCGACCCCCTCCCCCCCTTCGGCCCCGCCGCTCCTCCCTGGAGTTCGGACGCGCTCGCTGGGGGTTGCTCTCAAGCTGTGCGAAACGAGTTTTAAAAGTCCTCTCGTCCGTCCGAGGTGTCGCTTGGCACCTCGACCGACCCAGGTGCGCGGCGGGCGTGCGGGGCAGCGGCGGCTGCGCCCCAGCCCCAGGCCAGCTCGGTGCGGTGCCCGGAGCGGCGCTGCCTGGGACCCAGGCTCGCTGCCTCCTTACCTGAGACAAAGCCTTATGCTCCGCAGGGAAGGAGAGCCCTTCTCCCTCTGGGAGGGAACCGAGTCCCCATTCGAAGTTTTTAACACCCGAGACGCGATGCCCCAGGAAGAAAGCACCCAAATCCACAGTGCAGAAAGCCCAGAAAGGCCGAGAAAATGCTAAGGCGCAGCTTCGTTTACTTTCATGGGTTCGACGAGGATTAAAAAACCCCCTAAAGCCAAACACCCCTCGCCCCCCTCCAGCTTTCCTTGGCGAGTCACGCGGCCTCGGAGCTCGGGGAAGGCTGCAGAGCTAAGCGGGCTGAGAAAAAAAGTTTAGAAACTGAGGATTTCTGTTTCTCCACCCTATTCAGGTGAACCGCTTGGGGAGGGTTGGGGGCTGCAAAGCTGCTCCTCTCACCCCTGCATACCCCCTGCTTCTCCCATTTACACAAATCTTCAGGTAATTAGAAAGATAAAAATGTAATTAGCTCATTGTTCATCTCTCCTTGGGGAGTGGGGCTCCGCAAATTGGAGACTTTCCTAACAGCCCCAGAGGGGCCCGGGCTTCCTCTCCGAACCCCTCCCGTTTAAAGGGCAGCTCTTGAGTGGGAGAGAAAAAAATCCGGGAGAGGCCAAAAAAAAAAAAAAAAAAAAAAAAAAAATCAAAATAAACGAGCAAAAAATGCAGCGCTGTGGCCTGACTTTTATAGAAGTGAATTCTTCCGAAGCGGAGTTGAGGCTGAAAGATGGGCACATAGTCTAGGATGAGGGATACCAGGGCACGTGTCCTGAGGGGTTTCTGAGGAGGGGTTTAGGGTGGGGGACCAGCTGCTTGCTGGCTTAGCCCATCTCAAAGGGATGCGGGAGGGAAAAGTGTCCTCTGAAGGGCTTACTCTTCCAGGCTAGCATGGGGAAAGGGGGCCCCAAATTTCGGATGCTCCTGGTTATTCTAGGGAGGGAGGAGACTGGTCCAAAGAGATGGACATTAGGTGGCATGGACCCCTGCTGCGTGGGAAAGGCGGCAGCCTGGCTGCAGTGACCAGGACACCTCTGCTCCCCACTTCCTGGGTGTCTGCACAGGGTTAACCTTTGGGGAAGCGCGCCCTTTGAGAGCAAGAGCCGAGCAATTACCTAGAGCAAACAAAGCACTTTGTGTTCTGCCGGTGAGGAGCCATCCCCTGCAGCCCACAGGATTTTCCTTCTCCCCTTCCTCACAGGCCCGGAGATTAGCCCAGCTCTGCCCCAGCGGCCTCTGCTCCACTCCCGGCTGCCTCTTTCTGGGACAGCCCAGGCGCATGAGATGGAGCCCGTGGGGGGAGCACTTTCAGAGGGGAAGATGGGGACTGGCTAGGTGCCTGCTTTATAAAGGGAGAAGCAAAGCCCACAAAAGGCTGGGGTGGAAGTAGGGGGATACCGAATTATTGCTGTCTTGCCTTTGACTCCTTGGCTACTGTTTTCACTGTCTGCTATCTCCTCAGTCTGGGCCTCGGTACCATGCTCCTCTCCCCTCTCCTCTACCCCAGCAGTGCCTAGGCAGTCACCCTCCCAAGGCCAGCTGCCCAACAGAGACAAGCCCTTGAGGAGCAGTCAGATGTGGGGCTCAGGGACTGGTTCTCCCCTCAATGTTTTTGGTGAGAGGCCCTGCCCAGAGAGAGCACCCACTCCTCCCCAGCGCTGCAGCCCTTCAGTGGGAGGGAGTCCCACAGGACTTCCCCCGAGGCTGCCTGGCCACTGTCAGCTGAGGTGGGTCTGGGAGGGCTGTGTGTGTGTGTGTGTGTGTGTGTGTGCGCGTGCGCGCATGTGCGCACGTGTGTGTGTGTAGGGGCAGGTTGACACAGACCAAACTACCACATGGCTAGTGGCTCCAGAATGGAACCGCTACTTCTGGGTGAGAATAAACACACATGCGCTACTTTTATTCTTTCTGTTGATTCTTTGAAATCAAAACCAAATTTTCAAAGCAACGCGGATCTCTGCATGCTGTAGGCTGTTTTCTTTTCACGTAATTGGTCATGTTTTGGGGTACTGGGCAGGCTCTTGTGGCCATGATAAACTTGACAGTGAGAGAGGAGTCAAAAGATGGTTTTCCCTCCGAAAGGCTGATGTCCCAGCTACATCCACATCTGTTACCAGAAGAGCCATAACTTCATAAACTTTCCAGGAAAGATGTTTCTAAATCTTGCACTTACATGAGACCTGTATGGTCCCAGGCCGATAAATTATTGGGCCTCCTTCCCGCTCAGGTGTCACTGATTTAAGTACTGTGAAGGAGCACATCGTTTTAGTTTTGTCGCTTAGACCTGCTGTGCATTAAACCAGCCTGGCTGTGTTAATTGCAGATTGTAGAGGTCATGCTGCCCTTGTCGCAAGAGCCTTTCTTACTTAGGGTCCTTTCTTCATGATCAAGGAGCTGGTCAGGGAAGACCTGCTGTGCTCGCGCGTGTGCACACGTGTGTGTGTGTGTGTGTGTGTGTGTGTGTGAGAGAGAGAGAGAGAGGGAGAGAGTGAGTTTGTGTGTAACTGTGTGCATGTGTTTGTGTATCGGTGTGTGCGTGTTGGTGTGTGTGTGAGAGAGAGTGAGAGAGAGAGTGAGAGAGAGTGAGAGCGAGCAAGCTGGGCGCCTGTGTGCATTGATTTTTGTGAAAGATCACTTAATCGGAATTCCAGTGTGGGACTTTCTCCTCTACTCTCCCTAAAATATTAATGAGACACAAAACCTTTCAGGTTTTGGTTCCTTTGCTTTAAATGTTATTTTAAATACACCCTCCACCAGTGATTTAGTTCTCCCTCTCGGATGGTAAGTTTTTCCTGCTGAGACAGCCTGCAGGGCCCTGAGGACACACCAGAGGGGGCGCAGATTAATATTGCATTACACATTCCTCCCTTCCCCGGATCGGGCTGCTCCAGAGTGCCGTAAGAAAAGTCGAGATGGGGGTTAGCCCTGTGGAGAGCACACAGAGCTCACCCCAAGAGCTCTTTCCACCTTGAGTGGCACTGAAGGTCAAGCATTAATTGATAGGACCGAGAAAATGTCCCTGTTGGCTTCGGAGCCCTCAGCTGCCAGTCAGATCAGGAACTCAGAGGGTCCAGAGGAGATGACAGCGGGTGTGTGTGTGTGTGTGTGTGTGTGTGTGTGTGTGTGTGTATGTGCGCGCGCACGCGCGCCAGGGCGGTGGTGTTGTGTATTCTCACAGCCCTGGCCCTGCTACTTGTTCGGTGAACATGATATTCGTAGAAATTTGCAGTGCAATAACGCCCACTTAAAAAAAATAATAATAAAACACGGAAAACTCCAAAGCACAGTTCACATTCCTGGTATAGGTCCTTCCCATGTCGCAGGACCTCCTTTCCTTGTTTTCCTCCCCATGGAAGCAAGACCCATAATGCAAAATTCTGGGTAAGTGTTTCCCTTTGTCAGAAACTCTCCCTCCAGAACCTGATTTCAAGTTCTGGCTGAAAAGCAAATTTCCAAGTTCTGGGCCAAAAGGCAGTCACAGTCTTCTGCTTGGAGTGCAGCTGTGGTTCTTACAGACCCGAGGACGTAGATGGTGTTTGGCCCTGGGTACAGAGTGAAGGTGGAGGGGTGTGGTCTCTGCAGGGCCATGAGGGGATCCTGCCTGGAAGTGGGAATGACCAGCTGCAGACCATATAAGTCCTGGGGGCAGCCCTGGCCTGGTGGGGCTGTGCAGCTCCCTCCACAGCATCTGCACTGGGGGAGGCTTCGCCCGTTTCACTGAGCCACAGGGGAACTCCCAAGCAGGAGATGTTGCCACGGAAGCCACAGAAGCCAGAGAAGCCACAGGAGAGGAGAGGGTGGTGAGGGGGAGGACCCAGGGCCTCACCTCTTACCATTTTGCCTTGGGGTGGCTTTCCTGGGCTCCGCAGCTCCAGCCGGGCTTGGCCTCTGGTGGTTGGCCAAGGTGCAGTGCCCTTAGAATTTGCAAATGCTTTCCTGGGTCGTGGGTTCGACTCCTAGAGTCTGATAGATGATGGTGGGGGTGGTGGTGATGGTGAGACGCTACCTCACCCTTCTGGGGGATTCCACTGCCCCCTTTCTGCCTGTCCTCTCACAGAGGCGCTTTACCTCCCAGGGATCCCCTCCAGCAGTATTTTGGCTCAGAGCAGGCCTCTGGCCCCGGCCTCAGAAGCCCTCCCCCTGTGCCTGGTGCCTGGCAGTGGCCCTCATGCCTGTCGCACACACACCTCCTCTTCAAAGCCCTTCACTGTGTTGTGAAAACGCCTTCAGAGGGTCCCCCGTCCACCCCCGCTCCCGGCTCTCCCATTTGGCCGCTCTTGCTAAGTCGGTCCCCAGCCCCCACCGGCCCCCCCAGCTCCCACCCGGCAGGCAGGAACTCGCACTGCAATAGCCCTTTTGGAGCGGGGTGTTCAGGGCCTGCGGCTGGACTTTGTGAGTCTGGCTGTGTTTCCTTCTTGGCTCCTAGAGAGCAGGTCAGATTGGTCTGCTGTCCTGTTGGGAGTTTGGGAATGAGAAGGGGGCAGGAGTCAGAGAGGGATATTGAAGGGAGAGGGGGGAAAGAACCAGAAACAACTGGAATAGATGTGTTTCCCAGGGACCACCACACCTCATCAGAGTTCACAGACCCAGCCCCCCCCCAGCCCTGGATAACTTTGGCTTAAATAGTTGTGCCGTATTCAACAGGTTTGCAAGAAACCGTGTCTGTTTGGCTTTAGGTCCAGGCCTTCAGGACTCTTCTCTTGGATTCTCTAGTTGCCCTTCGGAAATTCCAGAAGACCTTTCACTGCTTTCAGCCTGGCCCTGGGACCCACCTCTTCCTCAGGGGCAGCTCCTTCCAGACCCCCTAGCCCTGGAACTCACAGCTCCTTTTTCTTCCTCCTTTCCTTTCTTAGGCACAACTGTGTGTCCTCCATGTGACAACGAGTTGAAATCTGAAGCCATAATTGAACATCTCTGTGCGAGCGAGTTTGGTAAGAAAGCGCCCCTGGCTGCCTCTGGGAGGTTTGGCTTTCCCTGGTTCTTCCTGATCTGCATCCCTGGTGAACAGAGAGCCCGTTGACGCATCTTTTATGTTCTCTCCCTCCATTCGCCCCGAATGGTTGCTGTTCTGGGGCCCGTGGAAATCTAGACAGGGGAGAGGGCTGGCTAGTTTGTATCAAAGTCAAACCTGGCATCTGCCCTTCTGTGTGAGGGATCACTGGGCAACTCTTGGGGACCTTCGCTGGGAGTAGAAGGTAGACAGATGGAGGAGTCAGCGAGACGACACCACTCCTTGGATGCCTCCTGGAGGTGCACCCGGGCGGTCCTGCACACAGCTCTGTTGGCCTTCCCTCCGTCCACACTGGCTCTTTCTCCACCCACCCCTAGGTGTCAGCACCACCATGCCCACGCTCTGAAATGACTACACGGGGTGTCCTCCCGGGGAGGGGGTGTCTATCCAGGGAGGCTGTTGTCCAATGCTGAGGGCGCTCAGAAGGGCCACTATCAAGTCCTTCCTGGCACAGACAACTGACATCCCTCCAGTAGTGGGAATTCTCTTCCCTTCCTCCCAAGTCACTCTGTTGGGAGGTTAAAAGGGCTTCCAAATCAGCACCTGCAGCCCCAGGGGGAAAGGGCTGGCTGTGGCCTGGGGAGCGGATCTCAGGGGGCCTTTCAGGGATGGTTCCTTGTAGTCAGTCTCATAGGAGACCTGACACCCCGAGACTATCTTCTCTGGGAAAGGTAACTGTCAACCGCACCCACCTGGAGGGCCGACTCCTTCTATTTTATGCGGATGCTGAAAAGTGGCTCGGCTCAGGCCAGGCCCACCTTGCTGAAGGAAGGTTCAGCCTGACACTGAACAGGGCATGTCTCGAGATTCCTTAACAGGAGAAGCAGAACGGTAGGTAACGTGAGTCTTTGTCCATTCGGGGCTGCCAACGCCATGTTTTCATTAACCAAACACAATAAACGGTACGAAAGGGTCCTGTGCTGGCAAAGCGCTGGGCCTAAGTCACACAAATAGGGCCTGCACATGCAAGTTGAAGGAAATCGTATATGTGACACATACATTCTCAGGACTGTCATCATGACTGAAGACCCCAAGTGGGAGAATTCGGACCCTTTGCCGCAGAGAGCTTCCTGAGGACGGCTATGTCTGGCATGCTTTATTTCTGCCCTAGCTGTCTCTGCCTCCTTTGTTCTTGGTGGAGGAACGCAGGGCCTCTAAGATTAATCTGGTGTGCATTTTCCCGCTTGTCTTTGACTTGCAACTTTTTTCTTATTGCCATTTTATTTCTTTATTAAGTTTACTTATATATTTTGAGAGAGAGAGAGCAAGAGCGCATGTGTGCATGAGTGACAAGGAGACGGGCAGAGAGAGAGGGAGAGAGAATGCTAAGCATGTTCTGTGCTAACAGCCCGGCGTGGGGCTCTATCTCAGGAACCGTGAGATCATAATCTGAGCTGAAATCAGAGTTGAACGCTTAACCGACTGAACCACCCAGGTGCCCCTCTTTTTGCCATTTTAAATGTAGTCAGATGAAATTGTAGAGCGTGCCTACGTTGGTATGTGCAGACTCTGGTTACCCTTCCATCTACTGGTAGTGACATTTGCTTCTTGATGCTCACCTCCTTGCTTCATCAGGGGGTGGTGAAAGCCCAGGGTATCATGATATGTCTCCTGCTATAGCATCTGTGGGTGCAGAGCCCCACACTGCATTAGCAACAAGCTTTTCTTCCACAAATGGGGCTGAGATTCCTTCCCTAAGATGCACTTGGACATAGAGGAAAACTCTCTCAGAAACCCTGACGAGAAGCCTTTGGCTGCATGGCTGGGGCAGAAGGAATCTGTTAAGATATGGCTGTGATCCCAAGGAATCCTTACAAGGGATACCCAAGGGGCCACATTTTGATTTCACTAATCCTCTTCAGATACTGTAAATCAGCACGCTCCCTTTTAGAAGTTGGCCCCCTGATATTCTAACAAATCGAGGGAACCGTATTAGAGTAAGCTCTGAAAGGTAATATATTAGATGATGTTTTGTGCTCAGTGATTTCTATCAGGCTCACCTCCTGAGGGAAGAGTGATGGCAAATTCTGGAACTCTGTGTGTACAGGCGATTGGCTGACTATGCCTTCCTATTCCAGAACTCAAATTCAATGTATCTGAACCTTCATTGATTCCTGTGTCCCTTTTTTCAACGTTTCTTGAGAGCAAAGCACTGTGCTAGATACTGTACTCAAAAATACTTATCTAGAATAAATTAGAATTTAATTAAACACTTTTTCTTAAAACACTAGTCAGTGATTTTTCTAGAGAATCATGGAGTCATGACCTAACTCAACAACTGAGGAGCGGGCCGTGGGAACTCAAGGCTAAGTTAATGTTAAGGAGGTGTGAGAAGAGAACCCATGTCTTCATGCTCAGATTCTCTGTCTAGAACTTACCAACCTGAACTTGTCGTCAGGTCTCCTCCCTCCATTTCCACTTGCTCACCATAATTCTGGTGATTAGGGGCTTTGTGGCAACTAGTTAAACTAGAGATATTCTTTTTTTTAAAATGTTTTTTATTTATTTCTGAGAGAGAGAGAGACAGCCTGAGCAGGGGAGGGTCAGAGGGAGAGGGAGATACAGAATCCAAAGCAGGCTCCAGGCTCCGAGCTAGCCATCAGTGCAGAGCCCGATGCGGGGCTTGAACCCGCGAACCGTGAGATTATGACCTGAGCTGAAGTCGGACGCTCTACTGACTGAGCCACCCAGACTCCCCTAGAGACATTCTTTAGGGGCTGAAGAGATGAGCTTTGGAAAGGAATTTGAATGTGGAAGGTTGACCTCACGGTATAGGGCAGGGGTCTTGAGGGTGTCACGTACCCATCTGGGGATGGACATCCTTTTCCCCTGTGTAGTTGCTGCCTGCTGAGTCAGCAAGTCACCTGCTTACTGCTTATGGGAGGGAGGGAGGACAGATCTTATTTTAATAACCAATCAGGTCTTGGCAGATCGGAGCGATTCTTTGTTTGGGACCGTTCCTCCCACCCTGCGACTATTTTCTTCTTGGGTTCAGAGAATTTTTGAGGTCTTCCTGGACCCTACAGGTCATCGTATCATGTCCACTTGTTTCATAAATAAGGAATTTGACTTTGCCACCTGGAGTTCTTTTACTCTCTGTCATGCTGCCTTCCTCATTTAGGAGAAGAACGGCCGTTGGGCTTTGCCCTGGAGGCCTTTATCCCTTCAGCATGGTGGGTACTGTGTATGCCAAGGTTCTTTGAACTGGATGCAGGAGAGATTTTTTGCGTTTTTTGTTTGTTTGTTTGTTTGTTTTTTGTTGTTGTTTGTAATTTTCTTCTAAGGCAATAAATAGGATCTTTTTTTCCCCCTCACTCTGCAGGAGCTGAGCTTAGCTCTGCCCTTCTCAGCATCCTGGAAAATGCAGCCTTGTTGAGAAACTTGTTTCTTAGCTCAGTTCATTTCAAGTAAGTGAGGCAGTCAGCCACGCTGATGGGATTCAGTTAGGAAACAAAGAAATTCAGCAATGCAAGCTGACACACAACAGAGAAGAAAAAGAATGTTTTACTCCCTACGCCAGGGATCAAACTTTGCATTAAGTGGCCCTGACATCCCTGGCGGGAAGGCATCAGGTTGTTGGAAGGCTCTCTGTGAGCTCTAGGAATAAGGGGGTGCGTTCCTTCTGGGTCAGCACACACACTCGCCCTCCTGCCAATGCGTCCTCAGACTCCTGCGGGCTCCGGGGAGCTGGGCGTGCACAACCTGTCACCTCTTTCCCAGGCAGTGCGTTTTTAAATCCCTGGCAGGTCTGCTTGGCCGCTAGTCTCTCCACTGTACCCCCTCAGTTCAGAGCGCATTTTTCCCCCCAACAGGGAAAAGCATCAGCAGAAACACCCGTGTGCCGGTACTCAGGAATGCAGCTGGAGCAGCCTGGATCAAGTACCAGATGTGGAAAAGCCAAAAGTTAGATGGTGCAGAGTCCCTGAATTCAACATGGTGGCCAGCCTGCCGGCCGCGCTTAAATTAGGACTTGCCGCTCTGCCTTTTGTTCTCTCTGCTTTTCCTGCTATGTGACAAGGGGGTGCCACTCCTTTCTCTTAAACAGGCCAAAACAGTATTTGCAAGCGGCCACACCAGCAACCCTGCTGGTAACAACTCGGTGCCCCTAGTCATCTCTCCTTCACGCTAGCTTATCCCAGGGGTGTGGGGGTCTGATTTATAATTGCTGTGGGGTTCGGACCCCGCCTCTAGCCAGTCTCTTTAGCTTCTCCGGTATCTGTAAACACCCTTAAGCTCTCTGATAGAAACGTGTGTGGTGCTGTACTTTTGCTAAGATAGTTCGGACCTTCCTCCTGGACTGTCTTCTCCAGTTTTTTGAGCTTGAGAGTTCAGGTGGCAGCGTCCTCTGCCCTGGTATTTTCTTGCTGTGGAAAAAAGATTTCTTTGCCCCCAGAAATTTTCCTTACCTTCTGGAAGGCTTTTTCCCCCTATTTATATGTTTCCTCATAAAGAGTAAAACCATACTGTGTAACACCAAAAGGAGTCAAATAGGAAAGAAAAGAAATCAGCTCTCACTGTTAGCGTTTGGGAGTATTTCCCAGGAAAGAAATATTTTCAGAGGTTCCTGAACCTTCACTAATTTGTTCTCACTCTGCCTTGCTCTTCTTTCAAGGTGTCTTGGCTGCGTTGCTGTTTGGAGGCCTCAGTGTTGGACTCCACAGGGCAATTTGATCTCTTGCACAAAGTTCAGCCTTTCCAAACTAAACCTTGGGTTTCCTCCCGCAGGTGAGGAACGTGCGCTGCCAATATGGTCATTACAACATCTGTAAGCTGCTTGAGAGCAGGGTCTGTGTCCTGGACCCTGTTTTACCTAATGTAAGATGCCCACTAATTATGAGACGCACTATTCGTTTGTATCAAACTGACAAAGGAAACATACCTCATGTTAAACTGGGAAGATAATCCGTGTATTCGAATGAA